AATGCATGCTCCAGAGTAGGTTTGTTCTGTTCTGCATAATTTTCTTGTTTCACATGTGGTTTGTCGTGAGAGTGACAGATCTCATGTCCCTTGTAAGTCTGCTTTTAATTAATCTTTGAAAATGCTTTCCAGAAGAGCATTCCAGCCAAACATTAATATATATATATATATTTTTTTTTTCTTTGTTTCTGTACAACTGAGTACCACAGCACAATGGAGGACTGGTAATCTGTCTTTCAGAAGGAAACAACAAATTCAGTACAATTAATTTCAAAATTAAATTTTCTGATAGTCATTAATTTTAAAAAGCACAGCTATGCATGGACTCCCTGTTTTCAGACAGAACTGTGAAGCAAATGAGTATGATCCTCCATGTTAAATTATGATGTTTTGTCCAATTATTTTATCGTATAGCAGTGGGTCATGTTTGTTCATTGCTTAACTAATGTTCAGTCTCTAGGATGTCATTCAATTTTAGTTCACTGTTACGTCAGAAGTCATCCTGATCTAATTTGCTTTATGTTAATGTTTTCACATTAACAACAAAACGAGACCTAATGAGGTACTTTAGCTTGCAGTCATGTTTTCCATGTGATGGTGCAGGTCTTTTGCCTATTGCACCATGTTTTCTGAGTGGGAAAGAACTGAGGAACTGGAAATGGTGTACCTGAAATGAATAGGACTCAAGTCCTGTCGAATTATATGGAGAAAATTGGAGTAGAAAGATGTGGGAAGGAGGGGGAGGACTTTCACAGTTTTGGCATTGAGTTTTTAAGATCATAAGATTTTGGTTTTTTTGTTAGATAGGAGTTTATTTTCTTTTCCTTGCTGTGGTGGAATCTTTGTGAGGGAAAAAATGAACATCAGTGACCTGCCAAAAAAAACAGTTGACAATTGAAAAGCTGCAGCTCTGTGTCAAAGCATTGTTCTTGCAGCAGGTCTTGGAGTCACACTTTCAGTTGGTAACGCTACTGATGTCTGCATGGGGGAGTTGTGTGGCCATGTGAGTATGTTGGAGTACTTGTCAACACATACGCTGGGGTACCCATCTTAGGCAAATGCTGGTATTCCTAGGATGGGGAAACATGTTCCTGAGTGTGTATGTGCTGCTTTAAATTTTATTTTTAACATCTACCAAGCTGTAAATTACTTCACTGTCCTTAAGTTGGTCAACAAGGTGGTTCAGCAGAAAGAATCATTGACTGTTTTGTACAACATCTGGTTCTAGCCCCCCTGCTGTGGGCAGGGGCACCTTCAAAGCCCCATCCCATCTGACCTTGAACACTGCCAGGGATGGAGCATCCACAGCTTCACTGGGCAACCTGTTCCAGTATCTAACCACCATTGTAGTAAATGATTTCATATGATTAGTTTAAAATGACCATCTTTTAGTGTAAAACTGTTACCACTTGTCCTATTACTACAGTCCCTGACAAAGAGTCTCTCCCTGTCTTTTCTTGTAGGCCCCCTCTATTGAAAGGCCGCAATAAGGTCTCCCCAGAACCTTCTATTCTCTAAGCTAAATAATCCCAACTCTCTCAGCCTCTCTTCACAGGAGAGGTATTTCAGTCCTCTCATAATTTTGCTGGCCCTCCTCTGGACCTGGTCCAAGTCCATGTCTTTCTTGTGATGGGTAGTCTAGAATTTGATGCAGTACTCTAGGTGGGGTCTCTCGAGAGGGGAAGAATCCTGGGCATCTAGTGCTGATGCTTGCCAATAAAAGTTGGGCGGGTTGAGTTCCCCTTCCCCAGCAACTTTAGTTTAAAGCTCTCTTCACCAGCTTGAAAAAACTGTAGCCAAAGATGCTCTTCCCCCCCTCTGACGGATGAGTCCCATCAGTCCCCAGTAGACCAGGTTCCTCAGGGTCCCATGGTCTAAAAAGTCAAATCCCTGAATATGACACCCATTCCACAACCAGTCGTTGATTTGCTGGATTCAGCTGGTCCTTTCAAAGCCTTTTCCTTTGACCAGCAAGATTAAAGAGAAGATCACCTGTGATCTAGAGCCTCCTACAGCAGCTCCGAGGGCTCTGTATTCCTTCATGACATACTTTGGTCTGCTCTTTGACAGTGGTGTTCGTGCCCACGTGAAATAAGAGCATTGGACGGAATAGTCTGTGGGCTGTACAAGTTTCAGTAGTCTCTTGGCAAAGTCACTAGTAGGCAACATACCTCTCCTGAGAGTGGTTCTGGCTGGCAAATGAGAAGAGAGTCACCTAAAACTATTACTTTTTCTTGATCGCCTTTTCTTGATTGCACTAATTGTTATACAGGGAGAAGATCAAGCTGGCTTAGTGTCAGGGCCAGTGTCTCTCATGATATAATGAATCCTTCCTCTTCAGTCCACAGAGCAGTGAAGTTGTTCTGCAAGGGTACCTCAGGCTTCAGGATCCTGTTATCCTGTTACAAATTGCAGTCAGCTAGACCGCAGCTGTAATAACAGCTTTACCATTACAACTAACATTCCATCTGCATCTTTATCCTCCAGAGTCCAGAAATAGTTTCTCAAGGTTGAGAAATTCACATAGAAATTTTATACAGAACAGGGATCACTTCATCCACTGCTAAAATAAAATGTAGTCATCTCTGGAAAAAAAAAATATCAGCTGTTAAATTGGCATTCTGCAACACTTCAGAGGAGTTTAGGATAAGAAGTGAAAACTTGATGTAAAAAAGAGGAAAATACGAAAAGAGGAGGCTGAGGGGAGACCTCATTGCAGTCTACAGCTTCCTCGTGCGGGGGAGTGGAGGGGCAGGCACTGATCTATTCTCCTTAGTCATCAGTGATAGGACCCACAGGAATGGTTTCAAGCTGAGGCGGGAGAGGTTCAGGCTAGACATCAGGAAGGGGTTCTTCACCGAGAGGGTGGTTGCACACTGCAACAGGCTCCCCAGGGAAGTAGTCACTGCACCAAGCCTGTTGGAGTTTAAGGAGTGTTTGGACTGTGCGCTTAGCCACGTGGTCTAAAATTTTGGGTAGACCTGTGTGGTGCCAGGAGTTGGTCTTGATGATCCTTATGGGTCCCTTCCAACTCGGGATATTCTATATTGATTCTATGTTATGCTGGAACCCCAAGGGAGCGGTCATGGCACTGAGCCTACCAGAGTTCAAGAAGCTTTTGGACAATGCTCTTAGACACATGATATGACTTCCTCCCTTCCTCCCTTCTTACCTACATACCTACACAGCAAGCTCACAGACCTGGACCTTGGAAGAGCAGGCTTCAGCCTTTTTGAGGGATTTGCTTGGTAGAGTACCATAGGACAAATCTGTGGAGGAAAGAGGAGCCTAAGAAAGCTGGTTAATATTCAAGGATCACCTCCTCCAAGCTCAGGATCGATGCATCCCAGCAGTAAGTCAGGGAGAAATGCCAGGAGGCCTGCATGGATGAACAAGTTGCTCCTGGCTGCACTAATGGAAAGGAAATGTACAGAGGGTGGAGGCAAGAGTAGATAACATGGGAGGGATACAGAGACATTGAGCATCCAGAGAGTAAGTTAGAAAAACAGAAGCCCAGATAGAATTGAATCTGGCCAAGGTCTTCTATAAATATGTCAGTGATAAAAGGAAGTTTAGGGGAAATGTGGACTCTCTCCTGAAGGAAACAGGAGATCTGGTTACAGCTGACACAGAGAGGCTGAGGTACTGAACAGCTCTTTTGCCACAGTATTCACTGGCAAGTGCTCTACCCACATAGCCCAAGTCCCAGAGGACAAAGGGGCAGGGACTGGAGGAATGATCTGTAGGAGAAGATCAGGTTTGAGACCATCTAAGGAACCTAAAATTTGCTGATGATACCGAGGTTTGTGGTGTGGTTGATACACTGGAGGAAAGGGATGCCATGCAGAGGGACCTTGACAGACTTGAGTGGTGGACCTGTGCAAACCAGAGGACGTTCACAACCTGATTTAGTGGTAGGCATCCCCCATGGAGGGGTTGGGGGTGAAACTACATGAACTTTAACATGTCTTCCAACTCGAACCATTCTGTGGGGCATCCACAACCTGTCTTGGCAGTTTGAATGCTTCAGTGTCTTCTGAGTGAATTTTTTTTTTTCTCACAGATTTTGAAATTGTCTTTTGAAGTAATATTTCGAAGTTGTTAAACATTATATATTGCTTTATGCACAGTAGCCTCTCTTTCTAGATGTGTGGAACAGAACACACTGAAGTTTGGTGCAGTTTTATATAGCACCAATTTAGTTCCAGTGTTACTTCATTTGGCTGAGTGTTTTTCAAGGTGAAATAGTTCTGTTGTTCTCACATGATACTGAATGATGAAATCCCTAATCTAGGTTATTTGCTTTTATGAAATGCCAAATCTTGCCCTTGTTGAAGTCTAAAGCAAGACTCGAGGTCTTTTTACCTGATCTTGCCAATGTACTTCCCTATTCCATTATGTTAATTTCATGCCAATTGGAGAGTCATAATTAAAAAAGCATGTACTGATGGTTGTACTTCTGGTGATTATTTTTTTCCAGTTAGATTTTCCTATTAGCGGATTGGCTAAACTTCTTAAAAGGTTTGCCTTAAATTTCAACAGATACAACTTAATGTGTTTTAAATCTGCAAACAGATTTTTACATTGTACTTAAAGACTGAGCCAAGATAATTCACTTTATCAATAACCCACACAAGTGTTCTTTTCCATCAAAAAGCATAGAATGAGAAATTGGAAAAAAATAAAAGAGGAAATGCACAGCATAGCTTTCTCTATGTATTCTGTAACTTGGAGTAAAGCACCCTCAGAACGTTGGTTTACAAAATCTGAATTAACATCTGATGATGTTAATCTGAATTTTACATCTGATGATGTAAAATCAATTTGTTTTCCATATCTGTTTGAAAGATAGTTTGGTTGTTAATGCTGTAGAATGTGTGTGTACTTCTGAATGATTCATTTATTTTTTTTAATTGTGTGAATATGTTAGAAGGAGATTTCTTATATTTTAGCTATCTGGAAAAATAAAGTCCATTTTGTGCATTTTTCTCATTTTGCAGGAAAACAACTTTGAGGCCTTTAAAAGTCATGTAACCAGAACTGTAAGTAATTTTATTTATTTTTCTTTTGCTTGGCCTGCTATTTTCCTTTTTGTTATTGCTTGTTTTATTACATCCTTACAAAGTGTTAAATGCTAGCTCTTTTCAGGGCATGCTCTTTGGCTTCTACACTGTGTAAAATTGTCTCTGGTATTCCTTATGTGCTCTCTTCCCCACCTCCCCCATTTTATGCATGAACAATGAAATGAACTTTGTGATCTTGTTGTGGTTCGAGCATGGCAGGCAGCCAAGTACCACACAGCTGCTTTCTTACTGTCCCCAGGTGGGATAAGGGAGAGAATCAGACAGGTAAATAAATCTGAGAAAACTCATGGGCTGAGATAAAGAAGTTAACTATGTAAAGTAACAGCTGCACATGCAAACAAAACAAAACAAGGAATTCATTTGCCACTTCCCATCAGCAAGGAGATATCCAGCCACTTCCGGGAAAGCAGGCTCATCACGTATAATGGTTTCTTGAGAAGATAAATGCCATCACTCTGAAAGTGCTCCCTTCCTCCTTCTTTACCCCAGCTTTTATTGCAGAGCATGATGTCATACGGTATGGAATATCCCTTTGGTCAGTTTGTCCTGGTCCTGGGTGTCTCTCCTCCCAGCAACTGGCAGGACAGCATGAGAAATAGAGAAGTCCTTGACTCTGTTCAAGCACTGCTCTGCAACAACAAAAAACATTGTTCAGTTATCACTGCTATTGTCATCAAAAATCCAAAGCACGGAATCATACAAGCTTTTACAAAGAAAATTAACTGTATCCAAACCAAAACCATAACAGTTCCTTTATCTAAGTCAAGCAGAGGAGAATTAAAGAGAAATACTAAAATGTTTGTAGACTGGTCACTTTTAGAGGGGTTCAGGAATTCAAGAGGCTTTTTTTCAGCAAGAACAGTTTAAAGTTCTTCTATTGTGGTCAATATGTAATCAATCTTTTTGCATTTATTTGTTCAAATGTGCCACACTATTTACAAAACAAATTAGATGTTCTTTACCAACTCTTTGTTATTATTGCTGGTGTAGTTCCAGTGGTACAAGAAATAATAATATATAAACTGTAGTGCAATAGAACCTAAGTTCTATTTTAAGTTCTAAGTTCTACCTTCTAAGTGATGTAGAAAATTCTGCGAATGGGAATTATTCAATATTTTAATACTGGTATCACGTATGAATATATTTCTAGCACAATTTCTGTGAAATAAGTAAAACAAGGAAGGAACAAAGGTCTTTTTGAGAACCTTTGCAGTTATGTTTTATCAGAGATGCCAGGTTTCTCTGATCCTGAAATAAATCATGGTAGATAACTATAGTTAACTATCTGTTAACTGTGATGCAGGTATTTGATTCACCGCTGTAAGTTGAAGTTGGCATTTAAAAAGGAGCAAGGGTAAAGACTTAAAAGACATGCGGCCTTCACCAATTGATCGTTAAAGAGCAGCTCTCTACTGCAATAAATGAGCATCTATTTCACTGTGTTTGTCTTGCATGTTGCACTTTTTTCCAGTGTCATCTGTGGTTCAGTGCTGCAGGCTTCTTCTGGTGTCGCTCTTTGCATACTGTGAAGAATTCTGATCCTTGACTACCTATGTAGGCAGGAAACCATCACAAAGACTTTGTTGTTAGTAGTATAGTTTGTTTATTTGGGGTGGCAATAATGTTTTTTGTACAGCCAAAGTATTCTCTATCCACACTGGATGCATACTATTATCCAGTGTTTTCTTGTAAAGTTGCAGTAATCTTCAAGTTACTAGGTCATATTTATTGAAAACAGCTAAAATACCTAGTGACAAAATTTTGTCTATTTGCTTTGTTCTTCTTTTTAGACAAATCACCTAAAAATAAATAAATAATAAAAAAAAAACAGAACAGAACAAACTTCTTTGTTACATGTATGTGACTAATTGGTTTTGATAGCTGTTTCTAATGTAAGAAATGTGAAGCAAAATAATGAGACATATTGTGAGGAAAATCTTTTTTGTTGTTGTTGTTTTTAGTAGGAAGTTGTTAGCTTAATTTTTTTACATCTGAACACACTGGAGCTTTCTCTTTGTAGTGGTAGCTTACTAGACAAGCGAAGATGTTTCTCCTCCGTTTTTTTTTTTTTCTGTACATGTGGTAGCTCATGCACAGCTAGCAATTTTGAAGACAGTCTTAGTGGCAAGCTATGTGTTAGTGGCAAGATGCAGGTGGTGCCTTGATGGGGCTGTTGCAGCTCTGGTTCTGTGATCCATAACTGTAGCTCACACCCTGCAGCTCCCTCCTGCCACTGGTCAAAGTTGAGCGATGCTAGTTGTGCCTTTGTGAGAACATATTTAAGAAAGGAAAAAATAGCTGCACAACAGCAGCTGGGAGAGTGGAGTGAAAAAATGTGAGAGAAACAAGCCTGGTGTGGAGCAGGAGGTCTGGTGGAGCTGCTGTACATGGGGGACCCAGGTTGGAGCAGTGTGCTCCTGATGGATGGACCCCATGGTACGGACCCATATTAGAGCAGTTTTTCAAGAACTGCAGTTTGTGGGAAGCCCACACAAGATCAGTTCAGGAAGGACTGCATCCTGTGGGAGGGACCCCACACTGAAGCAGGGGAACAGGGTGAGGAGGAAGGAGCAGCTGAGACAGTGTTATGGATTGACCACAAATCCCCTTCCTGTACCCCTGTGCCACTCGGGGAGAAAGTAGAAGTGGGAAGATAGGGGGAGGGAACGTGTTTTTAGTTTGCTTTTAGTTCTCACTGTTCTGGTCTGATAGTAATAGACAGTAAATTATATTAGTCTCCATATGCAGAGTCTGTTTTGCCTGTAGTGGTTAATTGCTGAGTGATATCCCTGTCCTTATCTCAACCCATGAGGTGTTTTTTCATCATATTTTCTCCCCCTGTTTCTTTGAGGAGGGGGAGGAAGAGAATGGTTGTAAAAGAGCTTATCTTAGCTAGCCAACAGTGTGAAAACATCACACGTTCTTGTTCTTTTTTTTTTTGTTGTATTAATGAAATTGAAAGAGACTGCTTTAACCCATCTGAGCCTTCTTTGGCTCTGGTGTTTCTTTGTTCTTTCATCTCCTTTCTATCTTGTTTTGTAACATCTGGTCCAGGAAAGAAAAGTTATATTGCTTTCTCCCAGCAATGTGGCTACTAAAAAATATTTCTAACGGCAGCCCCTACTGCTTGGCAGGAAAGCTGTGTAAACATCAACATAGAGGTTTGGGCTTGAATTCTAGATAGTGTCAGAGCCAAAATTTTGTTACATTTTAATATTGACATATTAAAAACAAGAAAGCAAGGCTTCTTGGTTCAACTAAAGGCTGACAGAAGTGATTTGTCTCTTTCCAAGAATTCTGTCCATCAGCACATGTAATTTTCTGTTAGTAAAGGGCTAAGTTATGGATGAATATCTGATTCAGTTTGCATCTTCAGCAAGGTCAGACAAACTCAGGAGATCTACTTCTGATCTGTTCTTCTGCCACCACATTCTTTTCTTTCCACTGTAGATACCACTGTTGTTTTTAGAGAATTAGGAAATAGAGCACACATACAGGAACTTTGAGCCGTGCTGTACAGGAATTCTACAGAGCCTCATCCTTAATGTATTAGGTGTAAATTAATGTAGTAATTTACATTACTTGTTGCATACCCTGTTTGTCTGCTGTGCTTAATTGAATTGCCTGTGGATAGTATTCATTCAGGAAACTTGTTCAAACCTCTGAAGTAATTATGAAGCTGTGCTACAACCAGAGCTGGAACACATGTATTATTTCAGTCAGTTGAGGTAAATTCCTTACATAATACTCAACATAATAATACTTAAATACAGACATAGTAAGTTTCCCTTATGTTTGCAGTGGAACTTTGGTCTTGTAGAGAGCTATGTGAAACAGCTCTAAGATTAGAACTGTGCCTTGGGTGAAAGTTTACATATGGGCAATGTCATAGAAGAGGGATGGTGAAGTGTGTAGAACTCACTTCTTGCTATATGGACTTTTACTTCCTTGGGGAAGTAAATCTAGCTACGTAAGGCTTGCAAAGCTACCTTTGCTATCTTTTCTGCTTTCTCTGTATGCAAGCTAAGGGGTTCCTTACAACTTGTATAGAAGTCATCTTTGCAGCAGCTTTAAATTAATCTAAGGAGAGGTGATGGAAGTAGCAATATGGTCTGTCTTTGTAAAAGAAATTTGTCAAATGCATTTCCCCTGGAAGAAGAATGGCTTTTTCTGTATTCCCAGTGTCACACAGCCTCAGGAAGGGAGAACAGTAAAACACCTTGTGATTGCTAGTTTTCTTCTGAAAAACTTCTGCTTCTCTGGTTCCCAAAATAGTAAATGACAGTATCGAAGTGTTGGTGAATTTTCTTTCTGAGTGATTGCTGGATGATTCCCTTGCTGGGTGAATTCTATCTTGTTGATCCTAGCCTTTTAGATATTCCCTCTGAGTAACCTTATTATTGAGTTACCTATGAGCAGCATTGTGACCTACGTTCATCTGTTGTCAGCAGATACAATGAGCTGTCTGTATTTTGCATCACTTTTTTGTTTTAACTAATACAATAACATATAATATAGTGCTGTGCATTTTCTAGTTTTGACATAATGGTCTGTATTAAGGGAGATACGCACATTGCTTCCTGGTGAGATCAAACTCACCTGGATCTCTTAGGCTCACAAAACAGACCATTGTCATCTGCCTTTGGAGGAGCCTGCAGACTGGTGCCGTGTCTCGGCACTGCTGTGTGCCAGCAGTTTCATGCATTTGCAGCCTGAGCATACTGATCTGAAATTAACTCAAAAAGAGTAAAATTTAAATAATAATAAAAAAAAAACAAACAGAGAACATGGAAGTGTGAGACTCTTCCTGCATAAAAGGGGGAAACGGGGCAACAGAGAAGAGTGTGAAATAAATTACATTTGTCAGAAATGAGGTCTGTATCTTGATTAGCTCTTAAAAGAGAAACTCTGGCCTTCTTTGCATTGAATTAGTGCACAGCGTGTGCCTGAATGAGAAA